TTTGTGATGATTGGGGGGGGCACGAAAATCGTCAAAATTTGCTTGACGTCATTGAAAACAAAAGAGACATTATGTATGGCACACCAAGAGACTTAAACATCTCTTGTTTTGGAAACGATTCATCAAAATCCTTTAACTATAAAAACAGTCAAGATGAGTAGATGTTATTAAAACCATTTTACATCTTAAATCTGGATATCATTTTCTTATACTGATATTTAATAGACTATAAATCTCATTTCTGCAATCCTACTTGTATTATTAACATATTTTAATAATTTTCCATTTGTGCTTTTTTCCAGAACAAAATACTCCAACTGCCTTGAAATTTATTATAGAAAGTAACCATTTCCTAAATCTCAATTGGGGAACAGCTGTTGCAGGAATACTAAGAAGTGAAATATGGATGTGGTGTTGAACTATGCGGATAGTTACTTCTTTACTCCCTATGTTTATCCAGACACTTGGAAAGAAAATGATCCGTGGCGTCAAATTGCTTCACTTTTGGTCGTTGCCAATGTTGGCGGCTATCTCTTATACTTCATTGTTGCCTCCCTAAATTATTTTCTTATTTTCGACAAGAGGTTACTCAAACATTCTCAGATTTTAGAGGTAAGGTTCCACAAGATTTTTTTTCTAAAAAAATTTATAGTGGGAAAGATTTAAGTTTGATTTTTCATATTAGTGCTTTTATCTTTGGTTAGAAAAAAACTCCTAATGATTTAAAATAAAAACTTTTGGAGAGGGAAAAATGAGGGTTTCTATAACTTTATTTCATCTACTCACATTAGACTATGTTTAAATGAGTTTAAATAATTTTCTCATTTCAGAATCAAATACAGAAAGAAATTCTTTGCACAGTCATATCGGTCCCATTCATGAGTATTCCTACAGTGGCCATGTTCTTTTTGGAGGTCAGAGGTTACAGCAAACTTTATGATAACGTTGGAGATACCAGGATGGGTAAAAGTCATAAATATTTTTTAATTTGCTTTCCTCCCATGCAATTATTTATTTTATTTATTTTTGCTGAAAATTGCAAATTAGCATAAGAAAGATGAATTATGTCATAATTATTATATTTAAAAAAAGCCACACTCATGTTATTTTTATTTTCAGGTTATGTTGGTGTGTTTATCAGTATGTTTACATTCATTGCTTTCACTGATATGTGCATCTACTGGATCCACCGATTTCTTCACCATAAACATGTTTACAAGCACCTTCATAAACTTCACCACAAATGGAAGGTAAAAATATTCAATCTGAATTTACAATGTTCTGATTTTTATTTTTTAAAATATTTACAAGGCTTTCGAATTTAGTAAGTTATTGTAAATTTATTTGAAGTTAAATTTGTTAAAGGGGATTTCTTTTGTTTATTTTTAATAATGAATCTTAAGGGAATTTGCAAGTAAGAAACGGGGAAAAATCTTTTGATAAAATTTATTGTCGTTGGTTGTTGTTTTTTTTGTGGGTTTTTTTCAATTATTTGGTTTTAAAAAAAGACTTTAGTTTGAACAAATTTCCATCAAAAAATTTTCTGTCTGAAAAATTTCTTTTGAAAAAATTACTGTAACCATCACTGCATGCTTAAGTACAAATTATAGAGATTTGGCTGTGTGATTATCAATATCATGCTCTAATTTTTCTTTGCTTTTTTTCCCCCCAATAACTTGAGCAGCATATATCCAAACCCTCAAACTTTTCACATAAGTTTCTCAAATCTTTTTTTAAAATAATCACAGGTCTCCACCCCTGCCCATTCCACTTCTGTCTCTTAAACTTAAATGCCAGGAATAGAGCTAGAACTCCAAAAATAAACGCACATGGTGGAAGTGCTCAAAATATTGCCAGCCGCAAAGCCCTATTTATAAATCATAGTTAAAGATGTATGATTGTATGGTATAAAACTTGAACTTTAAGTTTTCTAAACATATGCTATTCTGATATCCGACAAGACAATTTAAATTTTGGTTATGATTCTCTTAATCTATTTTTTTAGGTGCCCACGCCATTTGCAAGCCATGCTTTCCACCCACTGGATGGTTTCCTGCAGAGTCTGCCCTATCATATTTATCCATTTTTGTTTCCTCTCCACAAAGTAAGAAATGTAAAGTTTTAAAATGCATCCGAGAACATCGTTTGCACCAAAAAAAATGTTATGTGAGCCTAAATGACAATAAAGGAGGGAGTGGGTAATGCGATACTCATGCAAAGTTACTAAGAATTTCCCAATTTATGTAAACACACACAAAAAATTAACAGTAATTGCAAGTCAATCTATTCTTTTCTGAAAACATTTTCAAGCAGTGTTGCAAATTAATAACAGTTTACAAAAAAAATATATATTATCAAGGGAAGACTTCAAATCAGATCCTTCTCTTGGCTAGCAATGTTGTACTTGTACACCTTACTTCCCTTAGGTCACCTACCTGGGCCTCTTTGTCTTTGTCAACATCTGGACGGTCTCCATTCACGATGGCAATTACAGGGTACCCGAGAGTCTGAAATCTCTTGTTAATGGCAGTGCACACCACATGGACCACCATCTCTATTACAACTACAACTACGGGCAGTTCTTCACCCTGTGGGATAGAATTGGTGGCTCCTTCAGATACCCAAGTTCATTCGAGGGTTGTGGACCAATTGATCAGATTTTGGCCAAAGAGAGAGAAAGTGCTTTAAAGAATGGCCATACAAATGGGGTCAAGAATGGAGACATGAAGAAAAAGGAGTAACGTGACCTGTTCTGGTTTACACTCAAATTTATGACAATAAATTTTTTGTGGCTATTGTGATATCAAACAATCAAGTGGTAAAGTAGCATCTTTAAATTTTCTATTAAGCAATGAATCGAGCAATGAATCGAGCAAGTTGTTTTTTTTTTAAACAGTGAGATAAAATTTTTATAACTCACTTAACTTAGGTGAATGGAGCTATAAGTGCCTTTTTTTTGGTTAAGTAAAATCTGTGCAGATCTCTTTATTTAGAATGGCTCTACATGTATGATAAATAAATTAAGACACCGGCCTACTGTTATGTGAATTTTCAGGGTATTTGAGATTATTTGCATATTCTTCAAGGCATTAAAAGTTGGTGGCAATTGAAAGGTGATCAGTAATCTTTAATCAAAACTTAGGCATTATTTTAACTTCAATATCAATTGCTATTTTCATCTGTAAATTTTTCTCAAAGAAATCCGTTGTCACTAAAATACTACCATGTATTTCTGATCATCAACTTGGTGTGTTTGTACATGAACTTGGTATTATGTATACATACAAGAGAGAAAGATTCATAAAAAAATGC